ACTAAAGGGGGCATGAGGACCTCCAATCCATGCCACCCTGGAAGGGGACCCCCTCCAGGCTTTCCAGCCTCCCACCAGGCAGCAGGACAGGATGCCCCCACTGTCCTATGGCACCCCAGTGCCCAGCACTGCTGGCAGTGAGGTGCCCGCTGTCTGCCAGCCATGCTGGCTGCTTGTCCCTCTCCTGCTGTCCCCATGGCATCGTTGTGCCCCCCTCACCTTCTCACTGTCCTCATCCTGCCCCAGGTAGAGGGTCCGTTCGGTCAGGGTCAGCCCGTCCTGGTCGGTCTGGGTCAAGAGACGGGCAGGGAGTGAGCAGAGGGAGGGCACTGTGCTGAGCCAGGCACCCCTCGGCTTCCCCATATCACAGAGTGTCCCTGGTGGCCCTGGAGCTGAAGGATGGCAGTCTGCTGGAGCAGCCCTAGGAATGGGCACATTGCTGCCTCAGTTTCCCTCCTGCTAGAGGCTGCTGGAGCTGCAGCAGGCTTCATGCAACAGGCTGGCAGTGCTGGGCAGAGAGCAGGCCCCTGCTCCATGGCCTGACCAGCACATAGGCTGCCTCATAGCCTGCCCTGTGCTGCCACCACTCTCTGCCCCATCCCTGCTCCCTGGGGTCCCCCACCTGCCCCGTGGCCAGCCCCACTGCTGTGCTGCAGCATGCATGGAGAGCTGCATGGACACCCTTGCTCTTCACACGAAGCCCTGCTGTGCTGTAACCACAGGCACAGCCTGAAAGCCATACACACTCCTGAGCACACTTGCACGTACGTGCACACTTGCACATGCACAAGCACACAGGTAACTCAACCCTCTGGACACACCTATGGATGCTCACATCCCTACACAGGCACCATCCACTTTACCCCTGCTCTGTGCACACACACACAAAACACACAGAGTCAGGCACCCTCCTTCCTTCTCACTGTCTCAGCTCCCCACAGCTCACTTCACCAGCCCGGCTCTGCTCACACAGCCACAGCACTGCCCGCAAACCCACGGGCACCTCCAGCCTTCCTCCGCCATGTCCTTCATCCCACCTGCCCGCTCTGCTTTCCTGGACTGGTGCTGAAACCTGAAACCCTCGCACACACCAGAGCCCCCTCATGCACCCAGCGCCCTCATACACCCTGTGCACTCACACCCATCACACACCCACCCCCAGTCACACCCCTGACACCCCTCTGCAGAAATCATGCTGATGAAGGAGTGATGAGAGCTGTGCCCACATCCCTGTGACATGTCAGGGGTTCAGACCCACAGTCTCACTTCTCCTCTTCCCCCTGCAGAGGACAAGGACTACAGACAGCAGGCAGCTGTGCCCCTGGAGACAGAGACTCACAGTGGGGAAGATGTGGTGGTGCTGGCCCAGGGCCCCATGGGCCACCTCTTCCACGGGGTGCAGGAGCAGCACTACATCGCCCATGCCATGGCCTACGCTGCCTGCCT